TAGGCTTAAGTTATAGCTATAACTTAAGTGTGATAAAGGTAACTCATGGATCCTTACCAAGCTCAATCATTTTGTAGCTAAAGGAAGATTATGAGTTGAAATATGGTGAATTGAAGTTGTAGGAGCTCAGTTTTGGGCTTTTAAGGGGAGTTTTCTTCTAACTTGATTCTTTTTCATTAGAAGCTTGATCGAGATAAAATAAGTTTGATTGTAGTTCATATATACTATATGAGTATGTTGTTTGAAGCCAATTTGATGGCTTGATTAATGTAATTTGATGTTTCTTTCCATGTGAGGTTTTGGGTAAAATCTTGGGTTGTTGATTTTTGTACTAAAACCTTGGTGCATGTTGTTTTGTGTTGGATTATGTGAGTGATGGCTATTAATCTTGAATGGAGTGAATATGTTGTAAGGGGTTTGGATAGCCCTTAATGTTGAAGATGTAGTGGTTTTTCATTTAGAAAAATGATGCTCCCTCAATGAGATGATGCTCACTTAGTGAGCCTTCATAGGTTGAAGGCCCAAGTATTGAAAATTGGGATTTTTCTTAGTGAGAATAGTCTCGCTTAACAAAATTAATGAACTCGATGATGCTTGACTATTTTAATTTCTTCAAAATGATTCAAAACACTTGGGTCATTATTTGGTGAAAAGAAAGAGTAAGTCGACTTATATTATCTGTTTGTCAAGAACATATTACTTAGGAAAGGAAAAAAAAGTACCTAAAAAAAACTTCACACATTACTTCATTTTTATTGGTTTTAAAAATTGGTTGTATCAAAACACCCTCAATTTATATGGGTACCATAGTAACTTCCGTAGAAAAATAGATGACTATGATGATCTACATTTTCACAACAAAGACTACTTAACAGAGAGTATTAGGTTGGTTAAGATAATCATCACCACCAAATGAGTCTTTGTTAATTTTAACTAATCAACTAACATTTAGTTATTTCTTTTTAAAAAACACTCCATTTATTTTACTTTAGCCAATGATAATAAAATAAATTTAATTTTTTTATAATAAAATAAATTATTTATTTATTTTCTTTTCTTAAATTAAATAATTTTAATATTTTTTTGGATGTATATTTAATAAAAAAAATGCCTCACCCCATTATAAACTACAAATATTTTATTTTTAATTTGTATATATATTTGACTCTTTAAAATATTTATCTCAATTAACTATAATTTCTTTTCAATAGCTTAATGAAAAGGTCTTTGACTTCTCTTTCACTTTTATTGTTGGCTTAGAAGAGGTAGACATGACACTACAAGAATATTTTGAAATTTACTTCAAATTTTTACTATAAAAATTTTAGTAGCTAACTTAAAGTTAATTTACTACCCATTAACTATCAAGTATTTTTCCCGGCTAAATTAAAATATTTCTAGATCATTATCTAATTCATGCTTTATTTTTCTCTTTAAAATTTAATATTAGCTTATTTTTATAAACAATTTTAGCAAAATTTAAAAAGGGAAAATACCACATTAAAGTTTTTTTTGAATAATATAGGAAAAAAATAAACTACTTTCCCGATGTCTGTAGGTCATTCTCTCGAACTCTCGTTCTCAGCTCATTTTTGCAAAATTTTCAATGAAGGAGATTAACTTTTACCCTCCATATTTCATGAGTTCTCAAACCCTATACAAATTTCATTTCTCCATTTGCATCTCTCGGTACTTCTCACTTTAAGTATCAATTTTCAAACCCTAAAAATTAGCAAACATGATAGGTATTTGTTTCTTTTGATCATTTCAGTGATGAATTGACTTCTAGTGTATTTGTTATTTTTGTACTTTAAGGATTTAGTGAGAAGAGAAGTATCCGTGGAGTTGAAGAATGATTACCAATGTCAACTTTGAAAACACTGAATTCTCACACGGTATCCCCTATTCTGTAGGGTTGTTTCTTCTTTGTTTTATTTGTATCAAGTTCGAAAACACTAAACTCTCACATGCACAATAAACTAAATAGAAACCTACCCCTTTTCTAAGATTTTCTAGTATTTTAATAAAAACTTATGCATGTAAAATAATATAAAAATTATAACTAATCTTGTTCATTAAAAGCCAAGACAATAGTTTTCTTTTTATATATATAATTAACATATCCATTACATTGTAGAATTGAGAAACTATTTCATTGGGCATGCTATAATGTACTTATATCAATTTCATTGTATAATATACTTATAGCATATCTTTTTATAACTAGTGATCCCTAATCTACTTCATTGAGCATCCAAACACTTATGCTAGACAACTATAATAGTAATTATTATTCTTTTCCTTTGTAAAATATTTAACACATTGCAAATATTTTTAATATATATATATATATATA